CATAACATAACGTAACAGCATAACAAGGACGGGAATATTCACAAGCGCGTGTAGGGAGATACTGAAAGGCTTTCCACTAATCCTCTATAGCTGTTTTTTAAAGATGTCATATTAGTTTGGTGGAAAACACATAAAGAACGGTTGCTGGAATTGGGTATGTCTAGTTTAATGAAAAGAAGGATTAGGGGTGACATGATAGCAGTGTTCCAATATCTCAGGGGCTGTCACAAAGAAGAGGGAGTCAAGCTATTATCCAAAGCACCTGAAGGCAGGACAAGAAGCAACGGGTGGAAACTAATCAAGGAGAGAAGCAACCTAGAACTAAGGAGAAATTTCCTGACAGAAGGATTAATCAATGGAACAACCTGCCTCCAGAAGTTGTAAATGCTCCAACACTGGAAGTTTTTAAGAGACTGCATAACCATTTGTCTGAAATGGTATAGGGTTTTCTGCAGGGAGTTGGACTAGAAGACTGGAAGGGTCCTTCTAACTCTGTCGTTCCGTTAAATACGTATAAAGACAACACTAAATGAAAAGTGGAGATTAATGCAAGTGTTAGTTTATAACGGCTATTTGTTTTAAAGTTTTTAAATGCAATGAAATATGCAGTAAAATCATCATGTACTTAGGTTATCCTTAATTAAATACATTCCTAGCTCCTCTCCATACGAATTCTCGTCTCTGCGGTCCTAGAATTCCCCTCCTAAACCACGTGGAAGCGCCATTGGCACCGGAAGTGCCGTTGTTGTTTTCCAGGCCAACAGTCGTTAGTGACCGTGGCACGTGACAGCTTGGAGAGTGGGAACAGGCGAGCAGAGTCGCCTTGCGATTTACCGGCTTTCCGTGGAGGGGTTAGCTGTTCGGAGCGGAGAGGCTTATCATCTCCGTAGTGAAGGGGCCAGGAGCAATTCTCATGCAAGACCGATTCGACGAGCAGACGCCGAAGGAGAATGGATATGCATATGGGTAGATATGCCGTCGCGATAGGAGCGCGCGCGCGGGGGGGAAATCATCTGGAGGGGGGTGGTGGTTACACGGGAGACCGCGGGGATGGCGATGCAACGGTTCAGTGCAATGTCGGAGAGAAAGGAGCATCCGCTGCCGGCATCTGCCCTGCGTTAGTCACTCTCCACCTGGGATCTTCCAGAGATGTTGGGACTACAACTTTCACGATTTCTAGAGAAAAAGGGAAGTTTCTCCGCCTCATTTGTGGTGTGTCGGCCCGAGAGTGTCCTTTATGCATTCGTATAGATGCTTTGCAACTGTACATGTGTTGCCAATGTATGAATATTCTCATTTAGTTTACCGACGCTTCACTGATAGTGTTACCTCCCTAGCTGGGTAATAAAACATCGGCAAGTCAACAACCAAGTTCAGAAAGCACCAGAGGCTCCCCCTGTTCAACCTTACTTACATATATTCCATTGTTCTCAGGTTGCATGGGGAGCGGGAGTTGTGCCAGGCAAGAAATGCTGAGAAAGGGTTATGGGGTTGATGAGAAATATGGGCCTCTGGATTGTAGGATATCAGCAGCTCTTGGAGAGTGATAATAATAATGATAGAGTTGGAAGGGACCTCGGAGGTCATCTAGTCCAACCCCCTGCTCAGGCAGGAAACCCTATACCATTTCGGACAAATGGCTGTCCAGTTTCTTCTTAAAAACTTCCAGTGTTGGTGCATTCACCGCTTCTGAGGCAGGTTGTTCCACTGGTTAATTGTTCTAATTGTCAGGAAGTTTCTCCTTAGTTCTAGGTTGCTTCTCTCTTTGGTTAGTTTCCACCCATTGCTCCTTGTCCTGCCTTCAAGCACTTTGGAAAATAGCTTGACTCCCTCTTCTCTGTGGCAGCCCCTGAGATATTGGAACACTGCTATCATGTCCCCCCTCGTCCTTCTCTTCGTTAAACTAGATATACCCAATTCCAGCAACTGTTCCTTATATGTTTTAGCCTCCAGTCCCCTAATCATCTTTGTTGCTCTTCTCTGTACTCTTTCTAGAGTCTCAACATCTTTTTTACATCTTGGTGACCAAAACTGGATGCAGTATTCCAAGTGTGGCCTTACCAAGGCATTATAAAGTGGTATTAATACTTCACGTGATCTTGATTCTGTCCCTCTGTTAATGCAGCCTAGCACTGTGTTGGCTTTTTTTGGCAGCTGCAGCACACTGCTGGCTCATAAGGGAGTGGCCTATAAAACAGAAGGTTGCAAACATGCCTGTACAGGAAATAGTAATAAACGATGAGGTTAAATAGAAGAAAGAGGAGGTAGCCTACTCTGTGTTGAATACACTGTTGGCTGATTAATTTGTTCAGAACCAATGAGTGCACCAAAAGCTTGCACTTTGAAATCATGAAATTAAAATTTAAGTGATTATTTCAAAACTTTAAAAAACTTTTTTTTAAAAAAAATCTGTGAGCTATTTGGAATATCATGTTGCCTAAATATTGTTGAATTATAATTAAAGTTCTAGATTTTCTGAAAATTCACATCACATTTAGAAATGTATTAAACGTTCTGGCTGAATAAATGCAAGAGGTCTTTAGATTTGTACTAAATATTATACATATATTTTTGTGTGCAGAATGGAGACTGATTATAATTCCATGGATGAATCCAATAACAGTGAGACTGAGAACCAGTCTGAATTCAAGGATTTTGAAGATGTGAAGGACATGAGAATAGAAGCAGAAGCTGTTGTGAATGATGTTTTGTTTGCTGTGAGCAACATGTTTGTCTCTAAAAGTCTCCCATGTGTTGAAGATGTAGCATACATCAATGTGGAAACTAGGGAAAAGAACAGATATTGCCTGGAGCTAACAGAAGCAGGACTCAGGGTAATGTTCCTTTTGCATATATATTTTTAAGTATTTGCTGCAGACTAGTAAACAATAGTACATTGTTACAAAAGCAGTCTACTTCCTTTTCCTTAAGTTCCAAATATTTTATATAGAAAATTTCCAGTAATCAGTAATTTGATGCAAATTACCCCATTTACTGTAGCTATAAAAATCCATGAAATATATCTTTAGTATTAGTCAGTTCTTGAGAATTCCGTGTTATTGGTTGTCTTTTAAATATCCAAAGGGGAAAAAAGCTCAGTAGAACATTTTATGTCATTTTACTTTATCCACGTGTTTATATTGTGTTGGATCCTTTCTTACTTTTGAAATGTATTTTTCTTTTGTAGGTGGTTGCTTATGATTTTGACCAAGTGGATGACAGTTTACAGAATCCCTACCATGAGACTGTCTACTCTTTGTTAGACTCAGTTAGTCCAGCATATCGAGAAGCTTTTGGAAATGCATTACTTCAAAGACTAGAAGCTTTGGAAAGTGATGGGCAGTCCTGATTGAATCTACAACCCAAAAATGTTGTAACTGAGAATTTTGAACAGCTTATACTGAGAACTGGCAAAGGAATACTTTATCTTGCATTTCTTGCTTTTAAAATACTTGTTCTACTAGTTGTAAAGGCACTACCTTCGTAATTGATGTTGTTCTCAGTAAATAAGTCAATTTGTTCTCAAAATTTCAAACAAAGTTATAGTTCTTGGTTAATTTTTTTTCAAGTGGTTGAATAACGTTTCAGTTTTAATCTGTATTAAATCAGTTCTTAATTTTATTAATAACTGCAGTTGACATTAAATATTTGTAACAAGATAATGCTTATTCAAAATTTGCACAATAGTGTTTTCCAAGACTAACTAGTTTTATGAAGAACAGAAAATTGCCTTGCCAAACTTAGTAAAATAGATTTTTCATTTACAATATTTATTTCAAATTTGTTGTGCATTCTCTAACTCACTAGGATATCATAATGAATGCTCTTAAATTGTATAATAAGATACACTCATAAACATTTTAAGTCCAATACTTATTAGCAGTAAAAAGCAGTGTTTATTGTATGGGTTGCAAACTGAATACTGAACAGAAGCTGAATTGTTGGCATAATGAATGTATTCATCAGTTGAAATACAAATGGTATAAGCACAAAGATAAGGAACTAAAAAAGTGCATTCTTCATAAAGCTCCATCTTTCTTACAGTTTTTGCTAAAATGGAATACATATTTACAGTTTAAATGTTTACATAATGTACAGTATATTGGAAAGTATTTTGCACGCCTTAATATATTCCCAGTTACTAAATATTTCTATATTACCTTTAAGTATTTTAGCCATTGTTTTAAATTAATGTACAAAACAATATTAACTCAAAACCAAAGAGTCAAGTTGGATTTGAATTGAGAGAACAATTAGGTACCTAAATATGAAATTTGCTAACAGTGCTGCTGTAATGTTTTGTTTTTAATTTTTACTGCTTACAAAAAAGGCCTGTTTTTAAATGAAAGTTTATGTATAACATAGTAGCACTGTGCAGCGATACATTTTGCTATATAATGATAACATTCCTAGTTCTCAGACAGATGAACTTCATAGTTTGAAGGACTTAAATGTCTTGCGCCTTTGAATCTATTTGGGTGTTAGATATCTTAGCTGAGAATTAGTCCAGGAATTTACATTTTTAATTGTTATAATGCTGTATTTCATTTTGTACATTTGTTTAAAAATATGAAGTGCACAAATGAGTACATATATGCTCACATTTAGATTTATAGGAGGAAATGTACTTTACATAGCTGACTTTGTTTTCCTTTGTGAATAACCTAGCCATGTTTATTGTTTACTTATTTATGTTAGAGGCTGTACATTTAAATAAAGGCACATAAATGATCTGTACAATGGGTCTTGTACTCTTAGGACCCCTTCCCTCTTTTAAAAATTGAGCTTTTGTTTGTATAGGTTATATTTATCAATATTTACGATATTAAAAATTACAATTGATGCATTCACTGCCTCTATCATTTCTCATAATAATTAGAAGGGATTTTAATACTGAATTATTTTTCAAAATAGACTGGCAAATAATTTTGATTTTGAGGACCTCTGAGAAGGGTGCTAAGATTAAGAAAAATTGATAACAGAGTAATAAATGTAGCCAGTGTTTCTGATTAGATGTACATACAAGGGTTGGACAGATGGATGGCTGAGCTTGTTTCTTCCCAATTATTATCCCTCTGTTTCCCTACATGCTAAAATCTGCACCCAAAATTAAGTTGGATTGATGTTTCAGAAGGATGCTCTTAGCTCTCGAGGATGGTTGGACTGCAGCTTTCGACCCTGGGCGTTCGGACTGCGATTGAGGAACGGTGCGGTCCATCGAGATATGATAGTTACCTGATTCCCCAACTCCGACACGCCGACTTGTTATCGAGGAGACCCCGCTTTGGAGGCTGGCGTAGCGGAGGACAGAGGTCCTTCCGTTTCAGTCTGAAGCCCCGCCCACTTCTCGTCTTTCGCTACTTGCCCTTTGCTCTTCCTCCCATTCCTTTGCCGATGCCAGCGCGTGACTCGGTTGCCCAGCAACCTCCGGGCACTTTGTCAACGGCAACCATGTCGGACGAAGAGGAGGCGGTGGCGGAGGCAGAAGAGATCATTCGCAGCCAGAGGATCTTCCTCAACCATTTGGACAGCTATGGCGGCAGAAACATTGGGAAGGTGGGGGCGCAAGGATGCATTGCTCAGAAACGGGAGGGGGGGGTGGTCGTCCGCTTCGGGGCACGCCGCGGACCCGCCAGATGCATCTCCATCGCAGCAAAGTTACGGGAAAGTCTCACTCGACTGAATGGATGACATCATCATTACCTGTAGAGAGGGTTGGAAAGGAGAGGAAGCACTGGGGAAAGAGTCCACTCGGCTTTTTTCTAGTCATGATATATAAGTTATCACTCTTTCAATAGGTTGATTGTATGGGAAGGAGTGAGAAAGGAAATGAGAGATGTCTGAATATTTGTTGGACTTTGATAGTTGATGGCATAAGTTCAATACAAAATATCCTACTTTTCCTATAGTCATTCAAAGTAGCCAATTTTTCCAATCCCCAATATTCAGTGAGATAGTCTGTAGTAATAAGATTAGGGATTGGGCTGACAGCATTCAAGGATCTTCCCAATGTTTTAATCTCTAAATCCCACTGTCTCTGTATTTGAAGTAAAATATTTATCTTCAAAACAGTTTACTAAGTGATTATATATCAATTAGAGTTTTACATGTTTTGGGAGCCCTCCATCTGCTGTTTATCTGCAGGAAGTCAGTTAGTCATCATGAACCCTGTATATTCTGCTCTAGGGGATAAGCAATTCTTATGAAGAGTGTAATTGTTTGATATGAATCAAAAAAGAGCAATGAAAAGAAAAAATCAACGTTAGACATCATATTTTCTACCCAAATTAGGCCTTTCTCTTATGTTGCTTTTAACCAAATACAGTATTTTCATGGCTTTTTCTTTTATCTCCTGCCAAATCCCTAGATCTTATTTCATTCTTAAAAACTTATTTATTAAATTTCATTCTTAAAAACTTATTTATTAAATGTATATGCTGGCCATCTTGCTGTCATATAACTCTGAGCTGCTTACAACTTAACAAAAATAGTATTGCGAAACATTAAAACAGTAAGGATAAAAACAGAATTAACACAGTTAACTAAGTCAAAAGGGTATACAATGGGTTAAAGGTGGAACCTTCTATTTAGTCCAATAACCACTTCCAAAATGGCACACCCATATCTGGACCACAGAACAACCTGTAAGCCATATTTTAAGGCCTTTTTGGAAGGCTAAAGAAGGTGGAGATGGATCTCATATTAAGAGGTACAGTGTTCCAAAGGGTGGGAGCCAGGATAGAAAAGGCTCTCCTCTAAGACTCTGCCAACCATATATTGTGAAGGAGATTAAACCTTGTGGCTTTTTCATATTCATATCTATATCATTGTGTTTCCCCCCCCCCCTTCTGGGACAGGATTTTAATTATTTGTATCTTTTATTTTTCACATTTTTGAATTGCCCATGTCTCTCAATATATAACATACTTGCAATGATTTATTCAATTAATTCATCAAAAGTTCTAGTGTTAATCCACACCCATTGACTAAAAACAGGGGAGTTTGCACAAGATTATAAGCTAAAATGTGGTTATCTAGCTTCTCATGCAAACATGCTATCCTATATATTCTCCAATACTTCATTAAAGCCAGGACTCAACTCCCCCTTAACAATGTACATAACTGAACGTGGTAGTGTAGGTAGCTGCAAGTTAGTGAAGATATAATTGTACAATGAAACACAGGTCATTCAGTTTCTTACATTACGGCAACAACATGATTGGAGGGAGTTTGATTGTGAAGGGGGGGGGTTTCTGTAATCAGGAACTGTTACTGAGATACTGTGATATGAATAGCTATTTGTTGAATTGGGCTATAGCTTGGGATATTGCTTTTGCACCAATTCTTGCTCCATATTCTTTTCTGAATTTCTGGAACTGATACTTAGGCTCAAAATACAGAATTTCCACTGTTGGGGAATTCTACCCTTCCTGTCTAGAGGTTGGTTCTTAGGAGTTCATGTCTTCCATGAGCTTATCTCAAATAATGTCAGGCCTATCACATGTAGTGGTCATATAGCCCTTTTTTTTCTGAACAGTTGTGTGATCTAGAGATGTTTTCTATCACCCCATTTACATCCTGATCATTTGCAATTGCTGGTCACCTGTGACTTTCATGGAGTGATGGCATTTATTCAGATAGTCTGATAGATCCATTTAATTTTCAAAGAGATGCTTGGGGATTTTCCCAACCTTCTGGTGAACAACCAAGATCTGGACATTATTGCCTTCAAATGACTTCTTTTTGGGATTCAGTTGGTTGATGCTTTGATTCACTGAGGCCTTCCAGGAAATGAAAAACCAGAAACAATGGCTAGAGTATGCCTACTCCAAAACAGCATTGGCCAAACCTATCACAACATCCAGGGAGAAGCTATGTATACAGTCACATTTGTCAGAGCTTTGGGAGAACTTAATTAGAAGATGCTGATTTTTTGGGACAATTACAGTGTTTTGGAACAGCCTCCCAACTGAGGTCGGGCTATCTTCTTTACTTCTACAAAAATGTTGAAGATGGAAGTATTTTGAAGACAGTTGCAATAATAATTATAATTGCTTTTAATCAGATTGTGGAATTTCAACATCTTATTTTCTCTATACAGTAGGCCATTCAGAAAAATTGATTACAGCAGGGTAGAGGTTTACAAATGATGGCTGAAGGCTTAATGTTTTTTTTATTGAACAAGAATAGATAGCAAAAAGAGAAAATAAGAGTGCATAAGATCTCGTATCAACTTGTTCTTTTGAGAGAGAGAGAGAGAGAGAGGGAGGGAGAGAGAATTTATTATTTTAACAAGGTTGCCCAGTTTATATATCATAACTCTGAGTGACTTACAGTAAAATAACTAAAACATAAAAGGAGGAAATATGTAAAAAGAAATCTTACGAAACAACACCTGGGACTCTAAAATACCATTCTGAAATAGAAAACAATTGTTGGGCTCCAATCAGACCCTACCCCAGTGTTCCAGGGAAAAGCCAGCTGTTTAAGTCTTTCTGGAAGGCTAGAAGGGTGATGCCTGCCAGACCTCAGGGAGAGTGTGGGAGGCACACTCCTAGGTTACAGCACTGAGAAAGGTAGGTAGGTAGATAGATAGATAGATAGATAGATAGATAGATAGATAGATAGATAGATAGATAGATGAAATAATGAATAACACTGAATTACCTTTCACCATCTTATTATTTATTGTACATTGTAAGTATCTGGCCAATTGTATTGTTGGAGCCTCCTTGGAAGAAATACCAGAGGAAGAGGAAGAAGATGAGGAAGGAAAATCAGTTGTTGAAACTGGGCCTCCTAAACCAAAAGAAGGAATATATCAAATAGTGGGAACTCTTTCACAGGCAGAGAATACAAAACCAGATTTTGCCACGGAAGTATATACAGTAAGTATTCAATTTGTTGAATAAAATTCTGGATGTGCATTTGATTCACATAGAATTTTTTTTAATTGCAGGATCTTACAATATAAAGCAGCAAAAGAAAGTATATGGTGAATATAGGTATTCTTGGGTAGGGAAAGGAGTAACAAATGATAAACAGTGTATTATGATAATACAGATTTCAGCCATTTTTTACATACACTTCAATATTACATGTCAATGAAAACCAGAGGGTAGAGTTTGTGTTGCAATTGCAAGCTTCATTCTGACAATTCTCCTGATTCAATGGACACTTGGCCATAAAGTCCTTATCGCCTGGTCAGTGCAAGGATTCAAATTTAAGTATCACATATATATGACTGCATCAGTGAAGAGGTACCCAGTTCCTTGATCTAGTGAATAATCCCTCTGCTGAACTGCTCTAATTGTTAGAGAGTTTCCCAAATGTTCAATTTTCCTAACGTTTTCCTAATGTTCAATATACTTTCTGTAGTTTAAGGCCTTAAACTTAAAACTTTTTAAGTTTAAGGCCATTATTCTGGATTTTGCTCTTTGAGACAATAGAAAACAGATCTTCACCTTATTTATGACAACAAGACAGGGTCTTAAAAGTGCCATTACATCATCTTCACAATCTGTTCTTTGCTCTTAGGAGGAGGGTGTTGGTGCCTTGAGTTTTATATAAAATATATATTAAAAGGTGGAAAATAAATAAATAAATAAATAAATAATGTGCTTTGCCAGTGGAATTATTATTTTTGGAAACTATATTGCACTTATACATGTTCAGACAATACATGTCTTTTCAGAAGTTGTTTCATATACAGCTTATTCATATGCTTATTTTATATGCATGCTGTGTTATGAAATTTTTAAAAATCCTGTAATTTGCATTCCATACCTCTGCAATGCTTTCCTTGTTGCATTCCATTTTATATTTCATACTGATTTGATGATAAATCACTGAAAAACTACAGTTTTAAAGCTAGCCATAATTATGCCAAATTTTATCTTTGGTAGTTAAATTCAGTTAGGCAATGAGAGATTTATATCAGATGAATATCAATGGGAAAAATCCACAATAACCTAAGATAAATTGCTTATTTTTAGACAACTTCTCGAGATGAGTTGCTAGCTCGCATGTTAGAATGTGATATCATTATTTATAACATTTCTGAAGACCCAAAAGAAATTGAGGAGGCAACCTGGGCAGCAACAGGTCAGTCAATTTGTTCTTTAAATAGTAGGGAAAATGTAATAATCTCATATTAGCAAACTTGTTTAGCTAATCTAGTTTAGCAAATAAAGCATTAAATTATAAAAAATTTCCTTAAATCCTTCAGAAATTCACTTGGGCGTATCTTGCTGTTCTTTTTCCTTATTTTTTAATTTGTGCTAAATGTATAGTATCTTAAGACATTAATACTGAGTGACTATTTGTCCAGTGACACTGCTGGATTAAATGGCTTGATTCAAGTGCACAGGTGAACTTTAGCAGTGCTTATCATAATGCTTAAATTGGAATGCATAGGATAAGTTCCTTGTGATGTGATAGAGGATTATCATATGCTACTTAAGTCATAGGTTTTCAAACTCACTCCAGCTTCAAAATTATCCTGTATAATCATATGAAGTACTGTAAGCAGAAAGCAGTCAAGTGTGAAATACTGATATGTGTGTATCATAGTCTTCGTGAATGGATTACAATATGTCTTCTGCAATAAAGCACTCTTCATATATAGCTACATTGACCCCACCAACAAGTGATGGGTGAGCATTATAGGAATTTGACAATACATTATTTAGTACAGTAATGCTATTCTTTGTGTAGTACTGGGGAAAGATAAAGCCCATCGATATTTGTGATAAGGTATAAATTTAAACATTTTCTATTTATATTAACCTATAAACAGCATTACACGCAGAATCAAAACACTTTGAAAAGCAGAAATTATTTATTCTTCTATCAACAATAATGACATGGGCACGAAGCAAGCCTCTTGATCCGGTGAGTGATGGAAAAAACAAACAAATAATACAATATAATTAATTTTACTGATTTGTTTTCTACCGACCTGAAAACTCAGATTAATTATTGCTATCACATACCATCTTTCAGATAAGCCACTGAGAGGTCTTGATAGTATTGAGCTTAAATATTTCTCCCCATTAAGATTTGAAAATCCTTCAGATGAAATGTATTAAAAACATGAGAGATTTTCAATGTTCACATTAAGAAAATCATCCTCTGTCTATGTATTCCATCCAGGAAGATCCAGAAATACCTTTTACTGAAGAAGACTATCGTAGAAGAAAACCCCATCTTAATTTTATGGAACACATCAATGCTGAAAAAACCATTATCAAACTTGGGAAAACAGTAAGCATTAACACAAAAGGTTGTATATTTCCAAGCTTTATAGAATCCAAGTCCAAGGATTCCATTGCCTCTAGAGCTGGGGTGTCAAACTCAATTTCACTGAGGGCCACATCAGCATTGCGGTTGCCCTGGGGGGGTCAGGTGGGTGTGGCCAGAGTGGGTGTGGCCTACTGGGTGGGTGTGGCCAGTTCTACATCATTCGCGTCAAGGGTGCCTATGGGGCCCTGGGCAGGAGTGGGACAGATCTGAGGGTCTCTCACAGAAGGGGGTGGGACCGGGGCAAGTGCCAAGGCATGGTCCACTGGGGCAAGTGCCAAAATAGCCACCATAAATTTGTACATTGGCTCCCAGCTAGCCTGGGCCAAGGCCAAGGCAGCGGGGGCCGTTCCCTCACTGTTTCCAGGATGGCTTCGCGGGCCACATGAAACCACTTCGCGGGCCGCATCCGGCCCCCGGGCTTGTGTTTGACATGTCTGCTCTAGAGGCTCTTTCTGACTCTTTCACTTAGAAAGAATAAATGCTATAAATATTTTATCTTCTGCAAGTAGATCAAGGGTCCAAACTTTGCAGTATCATGATCCCCTAAAATAGTAAATGGATGTGATCATCATGAATAAAACTATCAATTTCACTAAGATTAGGATTAGATAATGTATATAGCTTTTAATAATTAAATGGTTCCCAAACTTTCTGGTAGTAGGAACTATCCACTTACCCTCATGCATGTACAATTTTTCAAAGTCATCCTTGCAAAGTTCAAGACAGAAGTACTGTCAAAGGATTTAGTTTTGTAAGCTCCCTCTGATGTTCACAACTCCCTGCAAGACTGAGACCAATAATCTGAGAACCTCTAAAGAAGTCCCCCCCCCCAAAAAAAATACTGTGCAGTGATAGCACCATCCTTTCATTGGCTAACAAGAATAGAGGCTATTGAAAGTAAGGAACTGTCAGGAAGTAAAAATGATTGAAGTTATCTACTGAAATATCTGGTTATTTTGAAGATTGGCCTGACTATTAGCCCTTGCCTCTTAAATTGAACATTTTAAATTTCTAAACAGGACTTTTTTTTTCTTCTCAGCCCAAGTACTTCTTTTATCTCCATCCAGTTTGCTGTTCTAATTTATTCTCTTCTACCTTATTACATGGGTTGTTAAAGTAGAAATGAATTCAATTACTTTTCTAAATTTCTTTGAATAGAGACATTTTTTTAATCTTTCTCCCCAGAACAAAAACAAATTTGGCACATATGTTGTTGCTTCAGGTGTTCAGTATGGAGCTGAAGAAAGACTTCTCCACTACTTTTTTAAGGTAATGTATTACAAAATTAATATTGTACAACTTATCCAGAAAGAACATATCTAACCTAACAGATTAGAATGACTAGTTAATCCCAGCACAGCCTTCTAATGGAGCTTTTTTAAACCAGCAGATGGCAATAGCTATAGAGTGCATTCCCTGAAACTGCAGCCTCCTTCATCATTAAATGGAACCCTAGAGCAGTGGTTCTCAATCTTTTTAGACTGGCGACCCCGGTCATAAGCAGGCGGCGCGCATGCGCGGCGCCCCCCCTGCGCAGCACACATGCACGGCGCCCCTCCCTGCGTGGCGTGCATGCGCGGCGGTGCCCCATGCGCTCCCCCTGCACGGCGTGCATGCGTGGTGGCGCCCCCCTGCGCAGCGCGCATGCACGGCGCCGCCCCCTGCGCCGGCTGAGAAAAAAATGGCGGATCGCATTGTTTGGCGACCCCCGTGAAATGGTCGTTCCACCCCAAATGGGGTCGCGACCCACAGGTCGAGAACCGCTGCCCTAGAGGCTTTCAGAAATGTATTTATTATTACATTACATGTAGTTTTAATCACATTAAAACATTTATTTCTATCCTGGCTAAATCTATTTATTTTGGCTTACCTACTTTTGAAATATGGTCCATGACAAGTCATTCAATACCGAAGTGCTGCCTTCAACCCAAAACAGTTTTGTACTCCTTGTCTAAGGTATTCCCATTCATGGTTCCTAATCTACCTCACCCACCATAAAAAAGCCAAGATACATTTTGCAATCATGCATTTTCTCTATCATTTGTAGTTGTAATTTCTTGTCATTTAATGGCTGTTTATAATACAGCCAGACATAGTATTCAAGTTCTACAAACCTGTCATTAATGTGGTCCTTTTCATTGCTAAGCTACCTTAAGGGAATGATACAAAAATGTACTACTATATATATGGTAGATTAAGCCACTTTGTAAATATTTGCAGTTATCTTGGCTTGGGGAGACTCCTATAATACCATGTTTTGGAGATGGACGAAATGTGGTTCCAACCATTCATATTACTGACTTAGCAGCGTAAGTATACTTTTTTTCTTTTTTGCTGTACAGGTAGTTGTTGACTTACAACCATTCATTTAGTGACAGTTCAAAGATACACTGTTGTAGCATCCCTCTAGTCTTGTGATCAAAATTTGAGCACTTGACAACTGGCATGTATTTATGACAGTTGCACTGTCCTGGGGTCATATGATCATCATTTTGAATTTCCCAGTTGTCTTCTGTCAAGCAAAGTCAAGGGGAGAACCCAAATTCACTTAACAACTGATTCACTTAGCAACTGCAGTGATTTACTTAACAACTATTGTAAAATAGTATGGTATGGGAGCAGCTCTGTAGCAGACAAAAAAGCTCTTCAGAGAATTATTAAAACTGCCCAGAATATTATCGGACTCCAGCTACCAGCCCTGGACAACATCTTCGAATCTTGCTGTTTGAGGAAGTTGCATAACATTCTCAGAGACTCTTCCCACCCTGCTTACAATCTCTTTGGACCGATGCCTTCTGGCAGAAGATATAGAACATTTAAAACTTGGACCACACGTTTTCTGAATAGTTTTTATCCCAGAGCTATAATTGCACTTAATAATGAACTAAAAGGCCACCATTAGTGGACCGAGTATTACTTGGTCTGTTGGGTGGATGTTTGGGCGGTTTTAGGGGTGGGGAATTGTGGTGGGTGGGAGTGTGTTTGGGGATTATGTGTGTGGGACCTGGTCTTTGGGTATCACGTAAACTTTGTTGTACGTGTATACTGTGTATACACATACAATGACAATAAAGTTTATTATTATTATTATTATTAAAAAAGGTCATAGAATAGGGCACCAGTCACTTAACAACTGTCTTGCTTAGCAACAAAAATTTTATGGCCGTAAGTCAAGGGCTATCTGTATCCCAGAACTTCAGAATTTTGCTGATGTCTTCCTTGTGGCACTATTGAAACTAATAACATGTTCCCTTCATTCATGGTAGTGAATCAGTTACGATGTTCTTCACCTTGAGTTATGTGTAAAAATAATAAAGACGAGATACAAATAAATAAAATATAAACAAGCTTTAAGCCTTTTTGTAAGTTTCCAAATTGATTTATTTTAATTTACAGATCCCTGCACTTTAAAAACATCCATGAAAAAGAATGTTGCCTAATGCCAAATACTTCACAAAAGTAAAACTTTTATGTCTTTGGTTAAGACCTAAACTTGGATGAAATGATGCAATTGATTATCTGATTTAATTATCTATGAGAAATAGTAGAGAGCCAGTCAGATACAGTGGTTAAGTTATGATATTAGAAAATTAGAGACCCTGCCTTTGGCACAAAGCCAGCTTGGAGACCTTGGGTTAGTTACTTTCTCTCAGCCTTAGGAAGGAGGCAATGGCAACCAATTGTAAGAAATCTGCAGGAACTTGTCCAGGCAGTCTCTGAAAATTGGACTCAATTGAACAGAAAAAAAAGCAATAGTTACAGAGTGCTAATAAGGAAGGGATATCTTTAATTACTTTGGGTCAACTCCCCTCCCCAACACTGCACCATTACTCTTTTAAATTTACAAACACTATTGAATCAATTTTTCAGGAGTTATGTGGAAAAAACTAAATTATTGTTCCTTTACTTTTATATATTCATTGTATACTATAATCACTGTACATTCTGTGTATCCATTCACATCAGAGTGTTGCAGAATATAGCAGATCATAGACCACGGACCAATTACTTAATTGCAGTGGATGAATCAACACAAACCCTGGGTGAAATTGTGAAGGTAAAGTAGTTGAAGAATTTTAATTTGTCAGATTTATTTTCATGGTACACAACACATTTTCAAAATCTCTGTTCTAAGTACAATTAACAAGATGTTGCAAATAGAAGACAAATGAAATATATAATAACCACAATTTATAGAGCTAAAGGGGAGAATTTGCTATTACCAGAGGAATCAGAAGGTCACACCTACCTTTTTCAATTCTCCCCTGCCTGAAATGGGTTAGAGATTAAAATAATATATTAAACCTGAAACCAAATAAGAAAGAAATGATTATTGTCCTAGGATCACAATCCTTGAAAGATGATAAATCTCTTGAATAGAGTTATGCCTGTCCAAAAAGCAGATTTACAATTTAGGGATGTCTCTGGATCACATCTCTAACGAAAAATATAGAAAGAGGTTGCTTAGGTTACAGCTTCTACAATCTGCAGCAGTTCTATATGGAATTGCAGGGGTAGCACTGAGCAAAAAAAAAAAAAAAAATGGCAGATTATGCTTTGTTTCTTAGCACCATTGATTCAATATTAAGTGTTAATATTATAGCTTTATGGCTTAAAAATAATAAACAATACTTTGCACTTTTAATGATTGGCTATTTATGGTAGATTTAAAACTTTTTTTTTTTTCCCATAAGTGCATCAGCAAAAATGTGGGCCCAGGAAAAATGCAGAAGATTCCAAGAGAAAATGCTTTCCTGAGTAAAGATTTAACGGTACTATTACCTTTCTGAATAGTTTCTGCTAGAAAGAATAATATCTAGCAATAGATCATTTGAAAAAGAGATTTGTATCGCTCCCATATTGACTTCATTTAAATAAGGCCTTAAAATGTTTAGCTAGGTTAGGTCGTGGGTTGTTGGAATGTTATTATGTCAGATGGGGTGTTCGTTGTTCTATTTTGGATATTCTTCTCATTGTATATCTATTTCAATCTTTCTTTTAATAGTTTATGTTGCCCAGAATCGTCATGGAGGTGGGTAGACTTGTAAATTTGATAAAGTTCAACTGGTTGCAGTTTCCTTCTCATGTCATATAGCAGTTTTGGGCAGAGGTTGATCAAGGTGGAAGGATTACAACTGGCATTTACAGTGAAAGAAAAAGGAGTGTACTGCCATTTAAAAATAAGTTTTGGTGTTGCTCAGGTTATCCAATGTGGTCAACCTCTCAGACTGCTAACAGAAAAGGAGTGGAGGGTGGGGGGGGGAGATCAGTTTGAGAAAATGTGAATAATCAGTTAAATGTATAAGCAACACTTTCCATCTTTTATACTGATATTCCATTTATTCATGTATTACAAATCTCAAAATTATCAATCTTGTGTCTTGATAACGGTCATGTTGATATATTGTAATGGGTTTTGTCATAGCAGGTGCAGTTCCCAGCTAACTCTAAAGGGTCTCTAGATTAGTTTTAAATTATTCAGAAGGGGGGGAAAAAATCACCAGGAGTTTCCAGGGATTTAAGATAAATTAAGAAGTTGAAAAAACAGTGTCCAAAAGCAATAGCAAACCACTTCTGTAATGTTGCCAAAAATTAAAATGAAGGTATGCATGGATATAGTTTGTAAGCCTAAGTTAGTACATCGATAACATTGTTTGTTTGAGTTACAGAGAAAATACCCCACTGTAAAATATTCATTGGGTTCAGTTGAAACTTCTTTTTAAAAATTCATATACTCTAGCTGAAATTCTGAAACCCAAATGTCAGAAGCAATTATTGTTCTTTATATTATTCACTGTTTCATCCTGCCATGAGTTTAAGAACTGCCTGTGACATCTTGCATAAGTTCCATCCTGCTCTGAAGAAAGAGACATCTGCACTTAGTAGAACTTTTATCAGTTATAGCCTGGAGAAGGCTCGTGATTTTTTTCTGATCCCCAGATTAAGATATTTATAATTCATTGAGAATTTAGAAAAGTGTTATTTCACCTTTTTTGTTATTTATTTGTATTTTAAAATTTAATTTTAATTATGAAGTATGCTACTATATTATACTATGTGGAAAGATAGTTTAGAAATACAGCTAATAACAGTTTCTTGCACTTCCTTCAGCAAACATACTTGGATGAATTGTTTGTGAATCTACGAATGGAAGCTGTATTCTTGAAAGAGAACTTCAACATAAGATGGGTTGCTCAAGGAGGGATAGTAGATAATATCGAACAAGTTGTCAATGAGTATAAACTAACTCGCGGATTATTGGTAATAATAATGGAAATATATACTTACAATGAATGAGTGAATTGTGAACTATTATTTTCTGTACAATTTAGAGAAAACATGTATTTATATATCAGTTTGGAAACAGCCAAAGTCAATCAGCAGAAACTTGCCAACATTTAAAGCCATCTGCAAAAGAAACTTAATGACATTTGAAACTGCTGACCTTGTAGACAAAAAAAAAAAAAAAAAAAAAAAAAGAGTAGACTGGAACTATTACTATCATAGAGCAAATTGTGTTTGTCCAGACAAAGTATGAGCCTAAAGGCTTACATTCAAATCCAACTTCACACATGAGAGGTTCCTTACCACCTAAACATGTTTAATTCAAGAATATTGTGTGAATCAATTGTGTAGGCCCTCTATGGATTAACTGGTCCATTGAAGATCACCGTTTCTTGTAATTTGTGTGACCAACCTCTAATATTTACACCATTTTGTTCAATGGTCCAGCCCTTATAAATAGTTTCTTGGCCCTTCCTCTCTCCCAGCTATAAACTGAGTGTGACATATACATGTCTCAAAAATTATATAAATATGGGAAATCATGGCTGCATTGTCTATTATAATTGCCTTTTAAAAATATTTCTTTTAATCCACGGTCTTGATTTAAATTGTGAAGAATGTACTTAAACACTTCCTATTCCCTTTTTATGCAGATGGGAATGCCCTTTGTCCCTATCTTCTATTAAGTAAAATTCTGTTTTGTGTAAACTTTGATCCTATAGTATGTTTTTTTTATTAAAAAGTTTTATAAAAATTATAATATAAACCAAAATCAATCTATAGTATGGTTTTCCAACTATATCTGAGACAGGATTTTATTTATCAACAGAAATTGAGTGGGACCTCATCCAGTGGGGGGTAGGACTTGCTGCAGTTTTCTTCTTCTTTTTAACCATGAAAAGCCTTTTCTAAGGCTAGCACTGTACCTTCTTGTGTTTTCTATGCCCAGTGGGAACACTACATTATTTCCAGCAATTATCAGCAATCATGAAAGTCCTCCAAGGGCTACAAAAGTAGAGCTTGGCATACATGTGGTCCTTGGGCAAAAGTCGCTGAATTATACTATATCCTATGCTATCTTACAGCCATGGATGGACTAAATCAGTATGGGTAGTTATGAAGTATTCAGTGTTTTGCCAACCAATCTGCTATGATGGAGACAAGCCTATAATTGCACCCACAAAGAATTTTTCTAAACCATATCCTTCAGCCTTTAGAACCTGAGTAAAGATAATATATTTTTTTCATTTTAATTTTGGTCATGGTGCATGAAGAATTATTAATATACCCGTTTCCTTTTAGCCAGTTAAAATTTGCATACTTGGTCCTCCTGGAGTAGGGAAAACTTCAATTGCAGAAGAGCTATGCAAATATTACAAAGTGCATCACATTAAAATAAAGGAAGTGATCACTAAAGCCATAGAAAATCTGGTAAGTAGATCACTGATGTTGTGAGCTGTTATAAAAGATTATAAAAGTATGAGTAGAATTAAAAATAAGCCATACAATAATAGATTTAAGAATAAAAATGTCCTGCATTGTATGTTATCAGATTATGCATTTTATCTTTTCAGTCATGTCTGAAATAATTCATTTTGCATTCAAAACATGTACTTTATAACTTAGGTTCGTTCCATTCTCTGCTTCAAAATATTTCAATAGAAAAACTGGAACATGTATAGTTCTACTGTTAAATATTGTATTTCAGTATGGGTAGACTTCTGTGTATATTTCTCTTAAATATTTCTTTAAATTTAACATAGAAGTTTAAACTTAAAAAATCAGTTTAAAGTTTATTGGCACAATTTGTACAAAGTCTAAATCAACTGCATGATCATGGACTAAGGGCAATACAAACATGACAATTGATTTCCAGTTCAGGATGCAAAACCAAGCAGGGAATAGGAATTCAAAGTTTCTTTGATAATGTCAAGTTTCTAATGAAGATTTAGCTTTGCAGCATGATATACTGAATGAAAAGAAAAATATTTACTTGCTAAGCTTGTAGATTATTATAATTATTAATTACATCAAGGATGTCAAATCTAAAATTTGTCCAGTCTGCAAATCTTAGGAATAATAAATAATGAAGTTCAGGATAATTGATCATGAAGATCAGATATTCTTAATGACATATTTAGTGGTAAATTATTGAACAATTTGTTTCCACATAGATGCATTGAAAGACAACATACCACAGTGCATTATGATGATGGAGAAGAGACAAACTGAAATATTTTTCAGAAGGATATGTCTTTTTAAAAGCAAAATTTATTTAATACTTCTTACAATGTCTACTTTCTTGCAACCTTCACTCAAATATATCATAGACTGTAGAACAAACAGGGCAACATTGTTTTAATTTTTCTACAGCTGAACCAAAATTTAGTCCAAATTTTCTTGGCATTTTATTTTAACTCCTCAGGAGAAAATAGTTGCTCCTCGAGAGGGAACAGAGTCTGTGGATGAAGGGGAGGAAGATGAGGAAGAGGAGGAAGAAGAACAAGGAGATAATGTAGAAGAAGCACAGGAAATGTTAGATGCAGTTAAAGAAAACATGGAGCAAAATTCGGGTAAATGAAAAATTAGCAAAAATTTCCTTTTCGAAAGTAAATGCAGTGGTTTGCTTATAGTGCTTCTTCCACTTAGTTGGATTGGATTCACAAAAATATGGAACTATAACTGGTTTTATTGATTTTGTGTAAACATATTTTTTGGCTTGCAAATCATAATTTCAATATTTTCTAATCTCAACCATTTGTGGTTGATTCTATTTGCCATGCCATTAGATGATACAGTACATGAATCCAGTCATCATCTCCCAGCTTCATCAGTCTCATTTAGATTACTGTTAACACTTCAGAGGAAAATCAGACACAAGCATGAGATGAAATATGAATAAGAAATGATGAGAAGGAAAGAAATGATAGAAGTAATTGAAATAATATTGTTGTAAAGGACAAGCCACCAGATCTTGGCTACTGATAGCCTACATTCACACAATAGGCTGAATTGCAGGCATCTGTTAGAAGCTATGAAGACATAGAATGTGGCATGCACCATAACTTGCCCCTCCCTATTTATTTATTTGTTTGTTTGTTTGACTTGTAAAGCTGCCCATCCTAAGAAGCAGAACTCTGGGTAGAGTCACAATAGCAATAAAAGCCAAACAATAAAAAAAACCTTGACACCCAGCCTTCTCCTCCAGTGTAACTTCCCCAGCAAATGCTTATTAGCTAGCTATAAATCCATCCCATTGACTGGTTTGTGTAACAAACTGAGTCACAAACTAGCAAACCATGTTTTAGTGCAGCTTGTGAATTGCCAATCTTTGCAGTTTGTTTAGTGATCAGTTTAACTGAGCTAATTCAGCAAGCTATAAGTATGTAATTCTAATACACTGCAGGTGTATTAAGTATGTGTCCAGACAATAGTAATTTCAGTTTTGACCACTCAACTCTGCCTCAACTAATACTTCTCCCATTACAATTAGGTCGTCTAGATGATCACTATGTGATTCGGTTCATGAAGGAAATGCTAATGTCTATGCCTTGTAAAAACCAAGGATATATTTTGGATGGGTTTCCAAAAGTCTATGACCTGGCAAAAGATCTATTTAACAGTAAGTATTTGTAGATTGCTCTGTTAGATGTTAATGTACATTGCATTGCATTATAGCTACTTACTTGTGGCTAATTTCACAATAACAGATTTCTCATAACTTGTAAATTATGCTGAAATAAAGTATTCATCTTATAGCACCCATGTTCTAGTCACAATCAGCATTACTTTGGGTAGCTAACAGGCCCAGAACATGGCATATGATAAGAAAAGCTACTGCTGAGAAATTCTAAATGGTAATCTATTCTGCACAGAGGGCAACATCCAACAGTTTTACCCTATTTTCAGTTGAAAATATTAGCATGCACTTATCATAATATATAGTAACTCTCTATGCATAAATGTATTTGTTTATAGTCTGTATATGTATCTTTCTTCATCTATATAAAATGTAAGTGTTCGTTTGTTCAAAATCTTAAATCTCCGAAAGGTCTTCACCAATTGCTTTGAAATTTTGACACAACGTTGCATTTGAATACGCGTGTGTTTTTATATACCTATATTATATAGATGTCACACCTGTGACAGGTAAAACATGTTTTTTTGAAAAACAGCACCATCTGTTGGACGTAAAAGCAACACACACTACGATTTCAGACAATCTCTATATCTGCACAGACAATGGAACAATAAAAAATATTATATACCCACAAGCATTGTGAAATTAAACATATTACAAACGTGTGCTTTCTCTTTTCTTTCTTTTCCATTTAACCAGACTGAGCCACAGCAACGCGTGGCTGGGTACAGCTAGTATAGAATAAATAATAATACATTCAGATTTACAGCTACTATTATTGGCCATGCAGGTACAAAGATAGCCAGGGAAATGATTGAAGCCTGGGAAACGGGTCCCTTGTCAATAAACAGGACTGCTGATTGACCATCAGCTTATCAGGTATTTAGGAGTTGAGGACTTGGCAGCACAAGGAAACAACAGCCAATTGCCAGCCATCAACACAACAATCAACCAATAGGAAGGCAACATATAATACAACACATAGAATAGCCCCAAACATATATTCCCTGAGGATAGGCTCCAGCATGAGTCTGAAAACTCGGAAGAGTAATCCTCTGGTCCTGGTAACCAACCCAGATTGGATCTTGCAATAAATAGTAATTTCATGAGGCTGATGAAATAGGCAGAAATTTGTGTTTCTCAGCTCAGTTCATATCTTTTCCATTGTAGCTGCAGGAGATCTAATGATAGATATATTGTTTAACACAGTTTTGGAAACAGTTTGTTCTGAGCAAAAAATTTCAGAGTGCTGAGATCCATATGGATTGGCTCTGTTCCACTGCAAAATTAATCTCTTCACCTTACTTAATGGGGAAAGAAGCTACCCAAAATTCAAAGAACTTAACCCCTAATTTAGAGCTGGGCAACCATTTGTAACCGCTACCCATCAAATTTCAGAAGTACAAGAAGATTACATAATCAGTTTTGGTGGTAAAATGTTGAATTTAATTAGTATTTAGCATTCATTTGGGGACTGTGATTCTACTTTTGGGGGAGAAAGATGGGAAGAGGCTGTGTCTAAGAGTCTTCTCTTTCACATCCATATTTTAAGGTCTACAAAAAATGGGCCAATAACAGTTTAATCAGGGTATAGACTATATCAAGAACCATACAACTCTCCTATAGCAGTATTTAACTATTTAATGCTTAGGAATTATAGCAATCTAAAAGGAAAATGGAATACCTCCAAGGAATTTAGAAAGCAGTCATGTCTAACATAGGCAATAGTGGATTTCCATTTACATCCTTTATGTAATAGTCAGTTACATAAGGACTCAGAGGATGGTTTTATAAACAGTTATTTGCCAACCCTTTAGTTATGTATGGGGAATAAATTCATTCTGAATTGCAAATAGTTCATTTGTTGAAATTCTTGTAATATTGTCCCTTTCATCTTAGTAAATCTTGTCAAATTTTTGACTGGAATACTTTCAGTTAAGTCAATTGCCAAGAGCTTGACATAAAGAGTTAAATATACTCAGACCTTTCAATGATCCTCCTTTGGTGACTGCCCTATTTAGTGACTGTTCAAAGTTATGACACTACTGAAAAAATAACTTTATGACCAGTTCTTGAACTTAACAACCAGAGCAGCATCCTGAAGATATGTGATCGAGATTTGAGTTCCATGCAACTGGCAGCTGTTTACAACAATTGCAGTATCCTGTGGTCACGATTACTATTGGTGTGTGTCACAGCTGGTTTCTGACAAGCAACAGAGAAGCTGACAGTAAAATCAGGCAGTAGAAAGCAGGATGCCATGAGCCATGAAAGCCAGCTGGTTGACTTTGGGCCAGTTACTCTCTCTCAGCCCAACCCAGCTCACACGGCTGTTGTTATATGGAAAGTAAGAGGAAGGTGTATTGGACACGTTCACCACTTTGAGTTATTTGTAAAAATAATAAAGGTGGGATATAGATAAATAAATAAAAGTATAAATTAAAAATAGCAAGTTGTAGTCATGTGATATCCCACTTAATGACTGCAGGTGAATCACTTAGCGACTGGGGTAGAAATGAGGTCATAAGTGTGTCATGGTCATGTGAAGTCTCGCTTAACCCTGGAGCTATTGATCCCAATTTTGGTCGTTAAGCTAGGACCTCTCACCTTTATCAGCATCACTGGGGCACATCTTTGTAAAAATAAACTATACTGTATTTCACACAAATATTATGCTCTTGTGACCTGCAAACTGGGACATAGGAAAGCCTTTGGTACAGAAATCATGCATTCAAAGAAATGTAATTTCTTGCTTCACTGTTAAACTATGTAGCAGTATTAAAAATGAAGAAATGTAGAACATTTACATTTAGGAATGCCAAGATGGTATATATTTTTTTCTTCCTAGTGTTTTTCTGCAAGTGTATGATCTGCTGTTTTGGGATCAGCCTAGTATTGATCCATTTGATTGCAACAAGAATTAACTCACCTATTTGTCTTCAGAGCCCAAAGTAGGCTAAGAGAAACTGACCAGTCAGCTTTCAGCTAAATGCTGAGTTTGCTTGTTTTGGCTTAGCACAGAGATGTCCAACCCGTAGCCCAAGGGTTGCATGTGGCCTGGACAGCTAGTAATGTGGCCCCACAAGCTCATAAACCATTAGTATGTGATTTATATATATTAATTATATTGTACATTTTATATACAATAAAATATTATATATTTTGTATTCCTCTTCATTCAATGCAGCTCAGGCAAACCAAAAGGTTGGGTTGGACACCCATGGCGTAGCATGTTGTATGAATCCCATCACATGGTTTATGGCATACATGTTTCATGAATACAGCCCGGCTTTTTCATAAGCTGTGGTTAAGGAATCTATGGATTGATATGTTGGGGAACTCAGCCATAGAAATGGAATACTGTATGTATTTAGTCAAAATATGATACACAATCGGTTATCAAGACAATTTGTCTCCTGTTTTTTTTCACAGCCTAATATTTAATGTCAAACCTATTGAAATGCTAGGTGAAAACATTTTTCTAACCATACAGTATGGTTATGTAATTGTGAGAACCCATAGCCTCATACAGTTTTTCATCCTATCATTTCCATGCAACATCTGCCTCCCCTTTTAATTTTTGAGGCTGATAATGGGATGGAATTAGATCAATGATAACTGGTCAACTAAGACCCTAATTTTATGTATCTATAAATGAATTATACTGTATCAGAAATGCAAAAAATTAAACAAATACAGTATGGAAATAAAAACAGAAAAATGTCTTTCCTGCCTTCTAATGACTGTCTTAATTTTTTCAGCCTAGATACAGAAGGCCTAGAAAGATTGTATACATAACGTTATAACATGATTATCTACAAAAATGAAATGGAGAGAAGCAGGAGTAAGAGGAAGACTGGAGAATATATAACATGGCAGCTTAAGAGCTAGGGCAATAATTATATTTGGATTAAGCCTAAATATACTTATTAATACTAGACAATTGCAAACTGCAAGATACTAGTTGTTATTAGAACCTTGTTAATGTATTTCTTTTTAAATTAGTTGAAGAGGAGGAGGAGGAAGATGATATGAGAGGCAAAATGCATCGCTATGACAAATTAATAACTCCTGGTAAGTTTACTTGAAATATTTATTTCAATTCTATATATTTAAACCCAAATCTTTTGTAGTCATATGGACATTGAGAAAATGTGGATAGTTCCATAATAAAAATGTAAGTCATACTGTTCTCTGCCTTTAATTTTCCCACATTCTCTTCTGTTAACCCATATTTTTCATCTATGGCATTTATGGTGTGAGAGCTTAGCTGAAGATACAAATATTTGAGGAAAAGGAAGTTTTGATTTCCCCCATTCATAGTTTACACCAGTATATCTTGCTAGTCAGTTCCGCAAAAAATAATTGCAAGCTTAATGATTTCATTCCCCCAAATCCCAATATTTTAAACATTGATCAGTATAAAAAATTGGTGAGAAATAGAAGTATCAAGCCAGTACAGTTCTGTATCTACTATTCATTGAAAAATTGTCCAACAACATAAGGGGGTATGAAAACCAGATTGGAAATAGAGTAAAAATGTCTAAGAAGCTACGTCACACTCCAAAGTCTAATCACAGAATTGCTAACTGGACATTGATAAATTTAAAATTGTTCAAATGAAAGGGTCAAAATATTTCTTCAATAGTCTTAAATGCCTCTACCTTCAATACAATCGGGACAATACCTATCCTAAAAAAGACATTGGCAATCAAACTTAAAACTCAATATTGGCCAATTTCAGTAACCAGTGGCCAACAGCTATGGAATATATAAAATACTAAAATCAAATAACTTGGTTAAACACTTTTTAAATTCATGATTAGCTTACTGTATAACTGTCAAGTCATTTCCTTAGCAGGAGAATGGATTTCTAATAAACTTGAAGGCCAGAAAATGCTGAACATTCAGTGGAGAATAAAATGAAGGAGGATATGGCTGTTTGAAATTAAAATAGTTGTTTATGCTGCAACATTGTGGCTGAAATTATTAAAACGTGTGAATGGTTTGCATATTCAGTAAATACAATAGTAATTTATTAAAACTATCATAAATTATTAATTATAATTAATAATTCAACTGTAAATAATCTTTATTTTCAGACAGATAAAAAGGATTATATATCTAATGATAAATAAATAACAAAGAGTTTTGACTGATCAACTTCATATAATGGTTAGTTATCTATATTTGAATCCAGCCAGCATGGTTTGTAAAACATACTTTGTAGATTATCATGTGTGATTCTAGCTAACTCTGGATCCTTCAACACACTCAGCATCATCTGCAACAAACTACAATGATGCCAAGTAACAGACACACAATGATGTCATCATGCAACTGTCCATTATATAATTGTGTCCTGAAGTATGTATAGTATTTAAGTGATGAAATACTATTTCCTGTCACCCTATTAATGCTATGTAACAAACTATGACTGAGCAAATTATATCTTGAATAGCACAATATGTGAATTCAATCTTTCAGAAATGATTTATTCACTTTGATATTTTGTCGATGAATATATAAGATATTTTGAATGTAAATTTAATTATGTAAAGTAGGACGTCTGCTTGGTGGTTTCAAATCAATTTTGCCTCCATGTAAGCCATATTTCAGCAATCTTGTAATCTTTATATACATTTCTGTATTCTTTTAAACAAGATCTCAATACTACTAATTCATCATTATTCACAGAAAAGCAATTCAAAAGATAAACTAAGCAAGGCACTCTAATACCATTGTAATATCGGAAATGTATTTTACTTTGTAGACTATGTTGTTTCTTTGAATGCTTCTGATGAATTCTTGAAAAACCGAATCATGAATCTTCCTGAAAGCATTGTTGCTGGAACACATTACGCCCAGGATCGATACTTAAGATCCCTCAGTCTTTTTAGGGATTTAAACACTGAGGATGAAACAGTTCTCAACTATTTTGATGAAATAGAAATACATCCACAATATATTGGTATGATATAAAATACATTTAATTCCTTCATTCCATTTCATCTACTATTATGATATTTTGTGTCATTTTCATGTACTATTAATTTGTAAATTTAGATAACAAATAATTAAAAAATTACAACATGCACAGTATTATACATCAAATCTTGTTAACTTGAGCCAACTTGAAAATAGCAAATGAAGGGAAACAAGAAAATAGCTTAATTATTTTAATTATGCCTTCTGGTCTCAATTTCCCATACCGAGCCAATTTTCTCAACATGTGAAAAGGAAGTCATAAAAGAGAATTAAAATATAGAAAGGGATTATTGCCCTGCACAGTCAGTTTAATGTAACCTCAGCTGCATTGTGAGGTAATTAAGGAAACCAACACTTCTACAAAATCCAGACAGCATTTGTTTCACCACAACAATAATCACTAAATTATAAAAATAAAACTAGCATCAGATCAAATGATATGCTATTACTAGCAATGAGATAAATTTGGGTGACTTTTTTCATATGGAAGGCCACATTGATGATTGGAGAAGTGTTTAGTTATGACTGAGGAAACCAGCAAAAGATGAGGTAACAGTGGGAATAGGTTCCAGACTGGCAGAACTACATCTACTTTAGACCCTACCTGTTCATACATTTTTCCACAAGACATATTCTTTTTTCACATGTGAACCTATTCACACTTGTCAAGTGAATCTCTGAGCTGCCTTTGGAGAATCTTTTCACAAAATCAGGTACAGTTCAGATAGTCTTTCTAAATTATCTAATTATATGCTGCTAAACACTTTATTCAGATATATGGCAGTTGATTAAGTTATAGTTACCCTTATTTCTTTTACTATAGGTAGTCCTCAACTTATAACAAATTTTCCATTACTAAGCAAGGCAGCTGTTAAATGAGTTTTGCTCCATTTTATAATCTTTCTTGTCACAGTTGTTAAGTGAATCTGTTAGTAACACAATTGTTAAGTGAATCTGGTTTTCTCGTTGTTTTTGCTTGCTAGGTCACAAAAGCTGATCACATGACCATGGGGATGCTGCAGCAGTCATGTGAAACATGTTCATAACTCACTTTTTTCAGTGGCATTGCAACTTCGAATGGTCACTAAACAAATGGCTTTAAGTCAAGGACTACCTATATTAAAAGACTATTTGTTTATTGGTAAAAGTGGTAGACCAGAGAAGAGTAGGCCTGATTCAAGTCCCTCCTCAATTATGCAGTCTCAATGTGTGGTACAAATAAGTGTCTCAGCCCAAACTACCTCTTATCAGTGGATAGTGGGAATCCTTGCTGGTAAACTGCTTCCAAGGGTTCCTCAGTTACTGATGTTTATGATAGGATGCCACCAATCAAGATGGACCTCCTGATGCATCTTAATTGTCCATCCTGAATTCTTTAATGCTCAGTCAAGGCTTTCCCATATTAACCTACTATAGGAAAAAGAGAAAACATGTAACTCAAAACACAGAACGACATGTTGCATGTGGCAAAGGTTTTAATGAGAAATTCCACTATTAAACCAAATCTATAGAAACAAAAAATGGAATATGCTTACTTAGACTTTGGTTCTCTCTGAATTTGGTTGGGTTTTTTTGCAGACATTTCTTTACCCAATTAGGTAATATTGTTAGTTAATTACATGTGTTTGTTTACATCTGTATGCTGACCATTTACAATTTCCTTTATTGAGAAAAATTGATTATAGGAAAAAAAAGTTTCTTTCTCTGTCACAAACACAGGATTCCAAATAAAAACAATAGTTAGCTTATGTAAAATTGTTATTGAATAGAATCCTGAATTCCAGCACATGCTATAAAGAAGTATGGAGTGGCCTTGAAAAAGGAATTTAGTAGCCATTAAGTGAATGCCACCTTAGCCTTGGAAGGGAGGATGGAGTAAAAAAAAATTCAAGATTATTCACCTGGATTAGGGCAAGAGAGAATTTCTGTTCAGGCTTTCAAGATTGTTTTAATTAATAATTAATACATTGATAAATAAATTAATAACTTTACTGATAGAATTCCAATAGTTCTTCTGATATCTGTTTCCTGGCCTGGTCAATCTCGAAAGAAAAGTACCTATTCAGAATTTATTGGAGAGGATAGTTGGAAAAAGATTGTGTGTGTCTTCTGCTTGAGTGTTGTTAGGCAGGATCCTTTCCTCATTTCTTTTTCTCCTCAGAACTGTACATACCAAAATCAATTGATCACATTATTTCACAAGATAGTTATTATGGAAGAAAATTAGAGAAAGAATTATATATGTTGCCTAGAGGTCCTGGAGGAAAGATGTGATATAAATATGATGAGCAAATGAATTAAGTGACAGCTTAAATTTAAAGCTATCATAGTAGAATTTTCACAATTTTATATTTTCTTGTTGTTATGGATAACAGTTATAGAACCATAGATGTTTCATGTCTACATTTTTAAACTGTTTTAATGAATAGTTTTGTACATTTGACAAATTTTATTACTTTTGCTTCAAACATGCATTATTCTGGCTTGTATTATACAAAAATATACGGCCCCCTCAAATATCACAACACTATACATTTGCCTATATTAATTAATTATATTAATTAATTAATTAATATTGCTTTGGTGCCATTCATTTGGCACAATTTTTGCTCAATTTGCAAGGAGGCATTTTTAATAGTGAAAGAACTGGGTTGTTTATAAAAACTAAAAAGTAATAACACAATCTAATTTTATGTCACAATTTTTTTCTATCCTGCCTTCACACTTGAAAGATGTTTCAAAATTTGAGGGCCTGGAAAACAGAGTTATAACAAAAGAAATAATCAAAAACATTGGTGAACCTAGAAATTATGGTATGACGGAAGAAGAAAAGGAAGAATTTGAACGGAAACTAGCAGAAGAACGGCTTGCTAGAGAAGCGAAAGAAAAGGCTGACTTGGAGAAACAGGAGTTGGAAGAAAGGGCCCAAAAAATAGCAAATTGGGAAGAATGGGTAAGTTAATCCTAAATATAAAAAAAGCATATTTACAGATTTCTTACCAAAGGAGAAGAGACAAAAAATCTGTTTCAAAAAGCAGTATACAGATAGTCCTTGACTTACAAGAGTCAAAATTATGACACTGAAAAAAAATACTTATGAACATTTTTAACACTTATGACAGGGGTGTCAAATTGCTGGCCCGTGGGCCGGATGCGTCATGCTGAAACCGCGCCCACCCCATTGCCGGCAATGGAAAAAAAGTTGCGATATGTCGCGACACGTCACGTGACGCTGCAAGTTTGACACCCCTGACTTATGACCATTGCAGTATCTCCCTGGTCACGTGATCAAGATTCAGATGCTTGGCAACTGGTTCATATTTATGATATTTTGTGACCTTCTGGCAGGCAAAGACAATGGGAAAGTCAGATTCACTTAACAACCGTGTTACTAACTTAACAACTGCAATTATTCATTTAACAATTGTGTCGTAAAAGTTTTTCATCCCCCACTCTCTTGTATCTCCTATATCCCATTTACCTCCTATATATCTTAACACCAAATAACCAACCAGCACTTTAGATCCTTGCTCAGCATTCTGTTCAACCACCATTACATAACTGAAGAAGTTATGCTATTTTATATTAAAATAAACTGTTGAGAATAATTCTGATAACTATTCTTTAGAAACTGAGAATAATAGAATGTTTAAGCCTCACTGGAAAGCTTTTGTAACAAAAATAGTGTTGAGAAATCCAGCATTTGTCTACAAGCATGCTAGAAACAGAAAGCTTAAACGAGATGTGATTTTGCTCTTTGTATTAATTATTGGACAGGGAAAGAGATTTCCTTCTCCCAAAAGAACATTCTATGGTATTAAGAGTCACCAGAGTGCATTGCTTACTTTACAATGAGGTCATCAGAGACCGACTGGCATTTTGTAACTTTTATAACTAGAGGCATTTGCAGGAGAGGCCGTAGGGGCTCATGGTGAAAGCAGCTCTGCATCATCACTGTAAAACTTCAGCCTCTTTTCTATGTGCATCATGTTATAATTTGGGCTACATTTTGACAAAAGCATTGAGTAATGCGGATGTTGATTATAATTTACAAATACGCAGGTTGAGCATACTTCAGCCTCAAATGAATTGACAAAACTAGACATACTGTTTTAGTCATATCTTTTCTGTGTTCATTTGACATGTTGGTAAGAAACAATAACTAGAAAAGGAACATGACTCACTAATAGCTGTTGCACTTATAGCTATTATTAATTAACAAACTGTAGGTATACTGAACTTCAGACAAATCACCTCCATAAATATAATAGTTTCTTGTGCTAAAATTTGTGATGTGAAGTCCTCATACATTCAAAAATAAATAAAATGATACTAAATCAAGTCATTAAAAAACAAACGAATGGAAACTTCTGCATAAAAGAGAATTGCTCCTAGCTCTTTAGATGATTTCAACTTTCATAGTAGGATAAATAGTTTGGATTTGATATTGTACACAGCCAATGCTATGTACTTTTCATAATGTCTTTACTGTTTTATTGAGTCTTTGTGTCTGAAGAAACAAATTCTTGCAGCATCTTTCCTTCCTAGCCAGAGAGGCCTGATATATGATATCCTCTGGGTTTTTTGAGAAATAAATTTATACTGGGCAATTATATGCATTTTTTTGTCACCTGATATCACAATTACGATTGCCATCACTTCCTTTGCTTTAAAAATCTACAGAGTATATATGCATGTATATCTAAAACATGCCCAGCTGTTTTAGATATGATTTATATAGAAAGATATGTACAGGAAACATCACAGTAGACATTTTTTCTTGGGTGTAGGCATGATATGTACTGTAGGCTATACAAACTTTGCTACATTTTCATAACGAGTGGATGTAGATTTCAAGAGACTAAAGTCAGCTATATGATCTAAAAAGAAATTGAATGAATCAGTTTTTTATATTAATGCTTATGTCTATATACAATGTCATATATTTGTCTGTGTTTAGAATAAGCGTTTAGAAGAAGTTAAGAGGCAAGAACAAGAACTTTTGGAAGCCCAGTCAATTCCACTGAGAAACTACTTAATGAAGCATGTGATGCCAACACTTATGCAGGGCTTAAATCAATGTTGCATGGTTAGGCCGGATGACCCGGTTGACTTTCTGGTAAGGGAATCTCTCTCTCTCTCTCTCTCTCTCTCTCTCATCTATCTATCTATCTATCTATCTATCTATCTATCTATCTATCTATCTATCTATCTATCTATCTATCTATCTATCTTCTTATGTAGGAGACAAAAACAATCTTCTTTTATTACTTATTTGTAAACCTTAGTTGTGCATCTAACTCACCAATACCCCATAACTTTTTGTAATTTGGCCTCTTATTTCTATTCATCATGCTAAAGATGATACATATTCTGTTATCCTTTAAGCTGTTTTCTAACCGTCAAGTATAGTCATAAGCATTCTTTACAGTCCTAAAAACAGACTGTTGGTTGATTTTAGCTGTTGAGTCAGTCTTATTGGTATGCATAGAATATTATTTCTCTTATAGCAACATATTTTCCTCCCAGGTTTTATTATATACCTCAATTTGTAACTGCCTTCTACCATGGACAGTGCAATTCTATCTATTTAACATTACATCCCATTATGCAAAGGATTGCTTACTGCCAGGTATATATGGATATTTTTTTCTATTTGGAGACATGAAATGGGCAAGCATTAGCATATACAAGAAAATGATACAGACTTTTGTAACGCAGACTGGGCCCATATCAATAAAAAATAAAAATTAGAAAAGGGGCTGAGATGAAATATTAAGTCTAATTTAGTTTATTATGTTATCAACATAGAATAACAAGGGAAGGGGGACAAGCTTATTTAGCTGGCATATAGTTTACAAACATTTCAGAAAGGTTCAACAATAATGAAAACAGGGTTGAAAGTGTGAAACTTAGAAAAGATATAGGTAGAGATGTCAGGAATATTATTAGAAGTCGCTGAACCAGTAGAAGCAAGATATTTTGGGTTTTCACGTTTAGACTTTGATGATGAGATCCTTGTTTATGACCTTTCAACCACTATGCAGTATAGCCAAATTACAAGACAAGGTAATGTTGAAAATCACTGTACTAGCAATAATCTGTTATGAATAGACCAGTTCTAAGTGTATTTTTCTCCAATAGATCATAAATTTTGAATCAAGGATGTTATAGCTGAAGTAATATCCAAAGTATCTGGGATATTGGATCCCACCTTTAACCATTCCAAAAACAGGATGTAAACCTAACAATAATTCAGTCCATTTCCATTAATTTTAGGAAATGCAACGCTAGCTTTAACCTATAGAGACTGAACATATCTTTTTACATGGATGTTTTTTTAATCAACAGGCAGAATATCTCTTCAAGAATAATCCAGAATTTGACTAGGAAGTCTAAACAGTTGCCCTTATGCCTTGTTACATTTAATGTTAATGATTGTTGTGTAATATTCTTGTAAAATATACATTCACTTTTGATTTTTTTTTCAAAATTAAGAAATCTAAATTGTAAGGGTACATACATTTATCTACAATGAATGACAACTTACAAACTACCTGGTGAAGTGCAGGAAGTTCCTTTAAAATATTTAAAGAAACACCTTCAAAATTATTGTTCCTGTAAAAGTAAATATCTAGGTTATCTACTTTATGACAACATGTACTTAAATTGTGCAGTGAAGGAAAAGACTATTGGTCCTTGTTCAGTTAACACCAAAAGTCCTTTTACAATGCTGCTATATGGAAGATTATTCAGTTATTTCTCTGCAATTAATTCAGCATATATTGACAGAATAGAATTATAGTTTTAAGCCATTTTTTCCATGATATAGTATCATCTAGATATCCTTGAGGTAACATAAAGCAATAATGAGATCATGCTTTGTATCACCTCTGATAGCTGGGTGATACTATAATATGAGGATTGAATGAAAAGCAATGGTACAAGTGGCCAACAATTGACAGTACTGGCATGCTAGAAGCTTTCACATCTCCTTTAATATCTATTCTTTATTTTCATTTGTTGAGAAGTTGCTATGAACAAAACTTATATTGTTATTGCTTATGAAAAGGAAGCTACTAAGCCACTAAGTGTACTTCAATGATTAATTGAATTTTTGACTGCTAATGGAATATCTCCGTTTCTCTCCCCCCCCCCGCCGCCCCCCATTATATTCACCACCAAATTCAAGGTGTTTGGGTGATAACTGTGTTGATGTGAATACTGAGTAGCTAGACCAAAAAATGTAAAACAATGAACTGGGAAGAATTGATTTATAATATCAAAAATGAGGTGGACAACCTATTTTACAGCAAATGATGAGGTTGTTGAACTGATTAAGGACAATTGATGAAACCAAAGAAAATTGCTGTCAGGCTTGGCTTTTCATAGGAATATGTGGATCATATTAATAATATTCTCCAATATTGTCAGCCCTCTATTGTCAAAATCCAAGTTTTGCTTAGAGGCAGTCTTTGCTTACTGCAACCATTTGAAACTACAATGTTGCTATAAAAGGACACTTACAATTAATGCTCAAAGTTCCCATGGTCACATGATCACAATCTGGACTCTTGGCAACCAGCTCACATAATAGTTACAGCATCCTACAGTCATGTGATCACCATTCTCTACCTTCTGTGCCAGCTTCCCACAAGCAAAGACAATGGGGAAACTGACAGCGGTCACAAGTCACGCTGTTGAGCTGCTTGCATCCTTCCCCTGCCTAGCAGCACATACTCAGCAGCACTACATTGTGTTGTGACTTACCTATCTGCTGGCTATATACAAACAGCCAAGGACTCAATTTATGATGGCAATGGGGCATGCCAGGATTGTTGTCACTAAGTGATGTGGTCACATGACATCATGCTTTAAACCGCACCACTTGGTGATGAAATTTCAGTCCTAATTATTGTCGTTAACTGCCTGTACATATTTGTTGGGATGCAGATAATATTTATTCACATGATCTAAATCTGGCAAAACTACCATCCAAAGTGCTACTTTTTTAACAATACTTTGAAACAACAATCTGAAGGAAGGAAATGTTGCTGCATCTTGACAACCCCAGGCCTCAATCCTAATGACATATCCAAGAGGCAACTGTAAAATTAGATTTCACTGTCTTATCCTATCTGTCATACTAGGATTCATGTGATTTTCACCTGTTCCTCTAGCAAAGGGATATTTTAGTAGGCAACTGTTTGATTCAAATGAACAGATAAAAACAACTCTCAACCTGGTTGAAGGGATAAAGCATGCATTTCTTTCATGATGGTCTTAAGAATAGAGATAATTACTGTATGTGGAGAAATAAACAGATGGCAAAAGGACTCATAGTTTCATTTCAATTATTAAAATAACCCTATTTAAACTGAAGTTATGGAGGTGGAAGCATTACATTACTTCATTATATATTCTTAGTCACTAATGGAGAAATGCCCTGAGTTTTGCATTGCCTTTAACACTGATTGACAAAGTGCCATTGGGAAGCTCAGAAAGATGTAGTGTGTCACTTATTAGCCTTTGAATCTGGAAACAAAAATGATGTAGTTGGCCATCCATCTCACACCAATGACTCCAGATAGTGTGCAAGGATTAAAACAACTGTTACCAGCCATTACCCCCATAAACCTATCTGGAACCAGTGCTACTCAGAGAGCAATGGTTACATGGATGTATTGGGAAAAAACAAAAATTACTCATGCCAACACATTTTAGACCAGTTGCAGTTACCAAATACTCTTCAAGGTCAGTCCCATGCAGAATGTGTTAAAGTAAACCAAATGTAATCACTTTATTAACTTATTATGACTTTGATATGAGTCACTAGGAACAATGTCCAGAAATGGATGAAATTGGTACACAAAGCAACCTGTACAAAGACTCCTCCAGCCATGGGTGCCATCTACTCATCAAGCAGAATTCATGAGTTCAGGAGGACTCCCAAATTTCACACCCTCACTGGTGAAGTGCATCCTCCAGCCAAAATTAAATCTCTGGAATCAGGAAGGAGGGTCAATATCTGAAGCCAATCAATCTAGTCAGTGTTTTGAGCTAGAGCCCGTTCATAATATCACACCCACATGAACAAATGACTTCATTAGTTGCTTCATTTAGATCTTAAACAGGAGTGCCAAGAGAGTAGAAACCTCTCAAAGTAGAATTTGACCTCTCCTCCTTCCAACTCCAATTGGACTGAAATCCAAACAAAGGAGATCCACAATAACACAGTGCCTCCCAGTTCTCTAAGATGGGCCAGAAGAAATCCATGGTCAATGTTATCAAAGGCTGCAGAGAAATCAAGAAGGCAGGATGGACTCTACCGCCATATCGGTCTACCAGAGATAATCCACATTATCATTGCTGTCTCAGTTTATAACCAAGAAGGGTTCAGATAATTTGCTTCTTTCAGAACTGTATACCATCCACCTTCTCAGCTGGAGATTGGATAAAAATTGTCCAGATTCATTGGGTATGAAACTGGCAGAAATTGTCTGTTCATTGGGGTGGAAGCGCAAGACCAGACAACTGCCTCCTTCAAGGCAGATAGAATTATGCCCTTCTGCAAAGAAACATTCACCATTACCTGACCCAACCATCACAGAAGATTTCAATAGGTGATAGAAATCTAAAATACAGGAGATTGAACTCAAACTGCTGAGAACGCTGTCGACTTCATCATTGATGACTGGCTTGAACTCTTCTAAGATAACTGGGCTAAATTTTACCTTAGGCAACTTCAACAGATCTGTATAGCCAGATTTTGAATCCAAGTGATTTGATACAATAGATGCCTAAAATGGTTCTTATAGGGGGCCTGCAAGCATTCCTGTGAGCCATACTTACCCAGGAGGGACCATAAGCCCATCAATTGGCACTCTGTAGACACAATAAAGGCAGAAAAAGGTTGCACTGCCCTTATTGCTCCATAGTAAGCTGAGTGTTCAGTCAGGTCACTTTTGATTCAGATCTGAAGATCTTAGTTAGTTTCCACTGATAAGACTATTTTTCAGGAATCTGTCTCATCAGAAATAAAACTCACATAACTGCCTAAGTAAATGGGAATAACACTTTGGACAACGTCCATATTCTGTGGTCTTTCCCACTGTTTGAATATTAAAAAATACATTATCGTGAAGTTTAATAATACTTTATGAATCAATCATGCATAATACAAAGATTCTAGCCTTTTCGGTGGTATGACATCTTATTGAGGTGGGATAACTGGGATTTATATAAAGGATTCTCTGAGGATTTTAAATGTCTTTCCTTGATAATTTAAGATGTCTTTATAGTGTCACTCAAAATCCTGATTTCAAGTCTCATCAACATTTTTGGTGTGCTCCATTATTCAATTCTTGTACTTAGAATGGCACAATCTGAATGGGTTCAGATGTAGCCTAGAAAATAGGATTGAAAACATGCAGCTCTCCTGATACTGTTGATCTACAGCAGGGGTCCCAACCCCTGGTCTGTGGACCGGCACCGGGCTGTGGCATACCAGCAACTGGGCCACGCAAACAAGTGAAGCCCCATCCACTGGATGCAGGCAGCACACGAAACCACACCCCCTCTGGTCCACGGAAAAATCTTTCTCCACAGAACCGGACCCTGGTCCCCAAAAGGTTGGGGGCCTCTGACTAGAGTACAGATCCCAGAATTTTCTACCACCAGCTATGATAAGACTTTGAGGTTCAGACTTGCAAGCAATATTTTTTTCCCAGTGTTATCTGGTGAAACACATGATTTAAACTCTAAATATTTGGTTCTGCTCTAATATTAAACTACAGCCTTTGGTACACATTTCAAATATGAGTGTATGCCTCTCTAACTCATCCTCTTTATCTTATCCTCAGGATATAATGATTATGTTGTCCAACTCTTGGTGATTCTATGGGCCAGGTTTTTCTACATCTTCTGATCCCTCAAATATAAACATAAATATTTCATTTGGACATTATGGGCAATAACTATATACAGACATTTTGATAATTTTTCTTAGAAAATCCTGGCTTTTGTACATTTAAATAGTCTGCTCTTTTTATCCTTCTGTTCAGGCAGCTTATCTTCCCTTAATTACACAAGACTGGGTTCAATACTAATTTGTAAGCCATAAATGATTTGTTTGGTTTTAACTTAGTATGTTGCATAAATATATCTACTAGTATGTATTGTACAGCATATTTCCAATTCTAGTTTATTCACAAATCATGGGTAATAAAATAATGGCTCAAATATATATGAACCAAAGAAGACATTAACGAACCATAATTTATACAACATTCTAAGGAAAAACAGATTACTATGAAGTGCAAACTTTACCTATAAGTGCAAATGGGAGATTTCTCTTTCAATCTCCTCCCGTTGCCCCTTTCACAAATAGTAAAGGGAAAAAAGAATTACCCTATAAACAAGCATCTCTTGCAACACCAATCAAGACGACTAACTTCCGTCCCTTTCCATGGCGCATGCTCAGTCAATGCAGGAACCGTTATCATTAAACTTTAGTTCATTCAACTTCAAACGCCCGAATCGCCTGGAGGACTACATTACCCACAAACCATTGTAAAGAGGCGGCATTCAAGCGCATTACCCTGAGTCCTCTTTTGTCACTTGACGCAGAGGGTGGGAAACGCCGTTGCGTGAGCACGTCTACTGGCCTCTGCACCGCTGCCCCTCCTTCTCCTTCCCATCTCCAGAACGTTGCTGTGGTAGCGCCTCGGCGCCATGTTAGGAGGCCGGAGGGGAAGAGGAAGAATTAGAAGCGGCGGCAACAACAGCAGCAACTAGCAGGCCTAGTGAGAGGTTCTTTACCCTCTCTGAGAGGGCCCCAGCCAGGCCCATATCATGCTCACGGGGCCCGTTTTTCAGGGGCGGAAAGAGTGACTATTCCAGAAAAGAAGAGACGGCGTTTAACCATAGCCGGAGAGACGATGCCGTTGTAAGTTGAGGCCCGCCAAAAGAGGGAGAGGGGCTGTCTCGGGCATACTCGTGAGGCCTCGCAGGAGCCTTGGGAGGCAACCTGAGTGAGCGCTTCCGGGCCGTGCCGAGTTCGCGGCCATTTGACCGGCCGGCCGGCTTCTCGTGTCCACATTTCAGCCTTCCTTTTCTTTGCTCGCGAACTCACGCCGGCCTTTTAATTGCATCTTATTAGCCCGGACGGCATCTTCCCTCAGCCGAATCCATTTCCTCTTGCACAAGAGATGGAATCGGGCCGGGAGTCTCATTTAATCTCTCTTTTTCCTTCTCCCTCTTGCGACTTAACCGCACACCTTTGGGAGTCGAGATAGCTGGCGCTTTCTAGTCGCTGGCCGGGCCTCGGCCACAGAACAGGCAGCAACCCGTTCCCTGCGCCGTTGGTGGCACTCAAGTGGCGGGTTGTTGCCCCTACTCACGTGGTGTCTGAAGCCGTTCCTCTGTGGGGACTGACTGGGAGGAGGGCGTCTGGGTACAAAGCTCTTGGGTGGCTTGGTCTTGTGGCGACCCGGACGTTCCGGGCATCCATGCTGCCTTCTTGGCTGAATGGGCTGCTTGTTGTGACTCCGAGGGTGCTTGGCACCATCTCCGCCGCTTATGAAAGTTGCTCGCGGATTTCTAATGCAAGAAACATTCGGCAAGGGAGATTTTAATGTTATCTCTTAAAGAACGTTGGCTTACAGCTTCCCATAACATAGATCCTTACATTGAATTGTATGTGGTATTGAAGAATGGCAACTTACTCCTACCCCATCCTCTTTTCTCGCTTACTTCTGTTTGTCATTGGCGTAGTATGGCCTCAGACTACAGGCTTTCGGTAAATTTTGTAGTTTTGTTTTCCTCTATTGTGATATTTGTAATGTTTTGGTACGTTTAGGAATATTAAGATTTGAAAGTGCAACAACTTAAAACGAGTTGATTGACATGAGAATTTTCTTGGGGCTACTTTTTTAAAGTAGTTTCCAAGCAAGAATATTTTTGCTATCTTCTATACTTAAAATACATACAGATGTATAAACTGTAATACTCATATATGCTCGTAGAGCCTATGTAAAAATAGCATTAGGAAACAATTGTATGATTTTTAATAAATATTTTGCAACAATTTAAATTGCAGTTGCAATTTAAATTCAGTACTTCAGACTGGATTTAAAAAAAAGTGCATTGGAATGCCTTTGGTTGAGCACCTGCCATCTGTATGTATGGAGCTTCTTAAAGCAGCTTTAAGTTGTTGCAGATAAATGCTCTGCTTGGATCTCCATGCATTCCAAAGCATCTTTTTGGGAGCAAATTCAGAAGACTGACTTTGAGTTAAGGAAAGTATCACAATTATGACTAAAACTCTTGTTAGGTTTACTGAAAAATAACTGAAATTAGCTTGCTCTGTAAAGGTGGAAGAATTTGTCAATATCATTTCTTTTTCTTACTGAGCATTCCAAAATCTTCTATTTTTCCAAGTATAAAAGAGGTTATAACAAATAATAATTTGTGAAATAAATATAACATGCTCAACTATTTATTCATGGGCAATTAAAAAGGAAATGATTGTGAGCCATGGGTTATGGTTCACCATTTCTGTTGGTTTTTATCATTATCTTTATATTGGCAGGCTGGCTGATACTTCCTGTATCTTTTTAATGTTTTGATAATTTTGTTTAGGCTAATGGCCAGTCATGATTTCATATGAAATTGGATAACTGAAATCTTTTCCAGTGTCATTCAGGATAGCAGAGATGCTGCAGTTGGAGTGGCCCAATATCAGAACTACTTCTTTTCCATCTCTTTGCCTGGATGCCAGAAGAAGAAATTAATTGTAGTGAACTTGCATGTCTGTGGTTTGGGTTACGTGCAATACTCTCATTCATTCATATAGGATTTGTGGTTATTCTCTAGTAAATGGGAAATTTATCTCCTTAATAACTGGAGATATGGACGAATCTTTTGCTCAGGGCCTTTATCTAATTTATTTGCTGCCCATGTCACAGTTAAAGACAATGCTTTACATTGGACCTGGGCATTTTGCAATCTATGGGCTGTGTGTAGTCCCTGTCCATTTTACGGCATCAGTGTTGGGCAGGGTGATGGCAGCATTGGGGGTGGGGGGCAGCAGGGGCAGTCCTCCACAACAGTCTCAGTTTCTCATGTGGCTCCTTGAAAAATTAATTGCCCAGCCCTGTTTTACATGTTTCAAGCTAGAAATTTTTAATAATTATACCTGCCAGCTAATTTAGAAAACTAATCGGTATAAAAGTGGGATTTGATGATGGCTTAGTAGCTTGTAAATAGATGTGTCATTTATCTAACATAAGAGTTGTTGCATTATTGTGATGACATCATATAAGTATTATAAACCAACTCAAAGGCAGAATTCGTATGATATCATTTTGGAAATCCTGAAGATGCCTTACTCTCTCTCTCTTCAGTAATAGATGGACTGTCACCAAAATTAATCATTAATACAAGGTTGCGCTGTAGTTATTTTTAGTATGTGGTTTCTTAAAATCACATCTTCCTTTCCCCAATTATTGGATATGATATTACATGTATCGTAGTGATAAGAGTGTTACCCAGTTTTTTTTAAAAAGAAGACAGTCAAAGATTGGAAGATTTCCCCTCTTTCTCTTCTCCAGAGCAATGTATTTCATTTCTTAAAATAATTGTTTAATTTTATTTATTTTAATAATTTCATTTTCAAAATTATTTGGGACAAATATAGCCTTCAATGGCGAATGCACGTTCCTCATGAATTGTGGCATTTTTAGAAATACTTATTTTAGGAAAAGAATGACAGCTATTATTATACATTTTTCTAAATATTAATGTTTATAACAGTAATAATTATTGGAGAAAATTGTAGCAAGAAAAAAGAAAAACTTAATTGGGTATTTATTTTTCCTATTGAAGCATCTCTAAATTTAGGAGAATCCTAGAGTTCTTTAGTATATCAAAAGCCATTGCCATACTAGGAAGTAACAATCTGGTAATAAGGCCTTCAGGCATGTTAATTTACTTCTCTTTTTGTGAACTCTGGGTAATAGCCATAGCTACATAACATCTCCTTTATTTATTTATTAGATTTATATTTTCCCTTAATTTTATACAGCTCCAGCCAGCGTATGCTTTTATTTTTTCCATCATAATTACCTTGAGTTGTGGGTTGGATTTAGAGAAAGATTTCTCCGAGATCACCCAGTTTGCTTCCATGCTTAAGAGAGAACTCACAGTATCCTGGGTTTTGGTCCAGCATCTTAACTATATTCCAAACTGGCTCGTATGGGACCACAAAGAGTAGGGTAGCCTGTACAATAAAGGAAACTAGCAACAGAACATTTTAGCCTTCCACTGTCTATAAGCTGTGGAAATGATAACCAATGTCCAGGTTGCTTTGGTAGGTAATTAATAGTTCTTCTTTCCTGTTCCCCATGCTTCCTCTGAAAGGGGGTAGGAGGCTCTGAAACAATTAAACTAATTGAGCCCTTTACATTTTGAAGGGGAAGGGACCACCATTTTCCCCCAAAATAGTTTCTAAAGAATGCCATATACAAGATAGATGCCATTCTTCCACAGAGACAGGAAAGGCAAATTATTCAACTGTTGACAACAGATTTGTAGATCTTAGAAATGTTGATCCAAGGTTTGAGCTTAGCATTCATTAGGTTTCTTCACTTAATTCTTCTCTCAGATCCTACTAAAAAGAAAAAGAAACAGATCATAGGCATGTTTCCTTAAAAGAAAGCAGGCACACTAGTGTCATTAGTTGGGAAGTATTCAGACTCCTGTTCAAACTTTAGCTCTAAAAAAGAACAAGGGCCAGCTAAAATTTAAAATTTTCACCTAAAATTTATAAACTGAAACAGAACACTGTTGATGCTGCATGGCAATACTGAGATCGAGAAAGGAGATGAATTAGCATTCTTCACTTGTAGAAGGCATACTTACATATCCCCGTTCATCTGGCCTGAAAAAATTCCTGGGTTCAAACAGAGTATGTTAGCAGTATAAATATTCCTTTTGAACTAACTTTAGTCCCTATGAGTATTGATAAAGGTGGTCCTGGCCCATTGGACTTGTTCAGATCCCAAGGCCTATCTATCTATCTGTCTGTCTGTCTGAGCAAACTGCTATTTCCTGTCTCTATCACAAAATAGAAGTGTGCAATTAATGGTCAGAACCACCCAGGACTTGTACTTATTAGTCAGGAAGCAAAACATCCCATTGACCTTATTGTACAGACTGCAACATTTAGGTTCCATCCTAAAGCAGAAAATGACTGTACAAAGGAAATCTCTTTTATGGTAGTCCTTTAGTCTAGTCACCTGAAGGATAATAATTGTATATAGTTGGCAAGGTTCAATCACAACCATTGCAGTGGATACTGTTACCCTTCCACAGCCTTACAGAAAGTTGTAGAGGTATTTGCCAATCACAGTAAAGAAAAACATTATCTCAGATGGTGCTTCTTTACAGCAGTGCCCCCCCAGCCTTTTGGGCAGTGGACTG